TAGTAATCACGACTTATTCCATAACTTTAGAGTAAAAAAGTTGCCTGACATCACATTAACAAACGCAACATTTATTTACAAATCAATTAATGGCGTAATTGACACCACTAATTATTTTTCGAGAAATGAAGATAGTCCTTGCAATACGCACAATCCGTAGTGCTTTTATCTCCCATCCACAACCTCCACTCAATAATAAGAGGTAAATCAACAAAATGCAAGGTTATTAATTAACCATTTATATATTTTATTCGCTACTAGAATAAGTTATTTATACAAATAACTCTCGTTCCATGTACAAGCCTGAATATTTTTGTGCTTCGACTAAAGCCTAGGAACATGCGTTGGCCTATCAACAAGGTGTGTGTTTCAGCTTAAATGTAAAGATAAGATCATCCAAAAGATCTTGCAACACCAGATACCTCATCTTCGATCTCTTACTCTTTCTGCCCAATCCTTCCTTCCCTGGCCAATACCTCCCTTCTGTAATTGCTCTTCTGTTTTCCCTGATCCACCCAAATCAAACATTCCACCTTCTTTGCACACTCTGCCACCTTGTCCACAACCCACCAACACCCACTTCAAAACTTTCCAGAAACCATAAAACTTTTCATTTCTCCTTGAGCGGCGACATACAGATAAACTGCTCTTGCCCGTTTATGAATAGGTCACACCCTACGCATTCATACTTCATGTCATTCTCTATACTTCTCATGCAATGTTTCTTTTTTCAGTCCTACATATCTTACTATCCATCCCTTGCTTTATTGAAGCCCAAGCATCATCCTGGGCTTTAAGGGACTTATACCGAGATAGACGATTTAGCCACATCTCTATAATAACAGCAAACGCACTAGTGATAAACAAGACAACAAATTGGTGACCCCGGAGTTGTGTAACGCCTTGTGTTACGTTGTCACCCTTCCATGATTTCCATCAGTGTTTGTGCCACTTGTGCCTCAGGATGCCCGAGGAAACCAGAAGCGACGCCGATACTTTTAGCAACACTAGAGAAGATCTATCACCACATTCTGAATACTGACTTTCTGCAGTCATGACCCTTCCATTTGGTTCACCATCCTCAAGTGTTGTTTTAAAGCACAGCGCATCAGCAAAAGTGTCAAGTTCAGTCCTGCGACATCTCTCCTTCCTCCAGATGTTTGGCTCAAGTTTCAAATATCATTTCGACTGCTGCGCTATTGGATAAGCCATATAAAGTGCTGAAGACTGCATTGCTGTCGAGACTGGAATCTTCCATTACTAATAGACTTCAGGAATTCGACAACGAAAAACCTGATTTGTTACAGAGAAGCGCCTTCTTGACAAGTATGATAGTTTTGACAAGACAATCTTTCTACAACATTTTTTTTTTCCAGTGCCTGTCTTCACATATTCAACAGGGATTATTCACAGTAAAAGGGAAGCTCATTATTGATGAACTCACTAAATTGGCAGACGAGTTTATGGCGTCAATTCCTACTTCTGGCTATAGTTGCTTCCACATCTTAAACAGTTGCAAAACTCACTATCCAGGATAATGTTAGTTGCATCTCTACCAACAATAACCCATGGTACAGGTCAAGAAGTCGATCCAGAGGAAGAGATGACATATGCTTCTATCACAGCTAATTCAAGGAAGCAGCAAAGAAGTGTCTACAGTCCTGCAACTTCAATAAAGCAACAAAAGTGAACATTAGAGGCGCATAATGTTTGCTACACCTTGTCCATGCTTCTTCATGTGTGGTACACACTCTCCTAGTCGACACTGGCGCCGAGGTTTGCCTTTTGCCTGTAATAGCAAGTCACATATCCCTCTGATCATGAACTTGTATGCAGCCAACAGATCAACAATCCCTGTATATAAATGGATAACTCTTGCACTCAGCCTCAAGCTTCAGTGCACATTTCATTGGACTTTCTATGTAGCAGCTGTATGTCAAGCCATACTTGATGCTGATATTTTGAGAAACTTTAACCTTCTAGTTAAAATAAAAAATCAGAGACTCCTTGACACTACTTCTATGAACTCTACCAATGCTCAACTTCTACATGGAAATAGCTTGCCGATATCTCCACAATCGATGCCAACAACCCATCTGCATCACAGCTAAAGTCCTTTCCTTCACTTACTCAGGCATACTGCAACACTTCTTATAAAGCATTTCTTTACTCATCACATCAAATCAATTGGTTGACCTATACATGCTAAGTCTCGTCGATTACCACCAGAACGGTATCGCTTAGTAGATGAAAAGTTTGAGTCCTCGCTATGGGAATCATCCGTGCAAGCTCCAGTAACTGGTGATCTGCACTGCATGTCGTTTCTAAGAAGAATTGAGAACTACGATCCTGCGGTGCCTACAGAGCTCGCAGTACTCAGACGCTGATTGATCGTTATCCAATTCCCAACATTCAAGAACTTCACAATTTTCTGGATGTTTCATCTCCAAAATTGATCTAATTAAAGCATTCCACCAGTCAATCCTAAAAACAGCCATTTTTACCCCCATGTGGCTTGTATGAATATGTCTGGATGCCTTTTGGACTGAAAAATGCTGCACAAAATTTCCAGGGCTTCATTGATGAAGTTTTACGAGGACTACCATTTGTCTTTGCTTATATTGATGATCTACTCATCGCCAGTAAAGATGCTGCTGAACATCAAACATTTGAATGATTATGATATTCAAATTAATGTAGACAAGAGTATAGTTGTGTTTGTTGATTTTGTCGGCCACACAGTTTCTGCAGCAGGTATCACTACACTTCCTACCAAATGTGAGGCCATTCAACAGTTTCCTAAGCCAACAACACAGTTCCTTGGGATGATTAACTACTACAACAGATTCATTCCGGTCTTCTCTACTTCTCCAACCTCTATACCCAGATCATGCAGTTGCTTTTGTCTGGAGTCCTGAAGCTGATATTGCCTACAATGCTGCTAACCAAGCCCTCAGTGCAAAAACTACACTCAGCTTTCCCAATCAAGATGCCCCATTGTCCACAACTACTGATACGTCCAACACTGGCACTGGAGCTGTTCTGCAACAATATGTAGGTGGACGGAAACCTTTAGCCTTTTTTCAAAGAACAGACTTAGAGCACATTTAATAAGAAAAATAAGAATAAAAAATAGATATTTTTTTTTTAGCTAATTATAAAGCAATCAAACAGTTTCGACATTTAATAGAGGGCAAAAAGTTCCACATCTTCACCGACCACAAGCCACTCTCTACTATCTTCAAACACCAGCAAGTTTTATTCGTCATATTGACTATATTTTGCATTTCACTACAGACACCCGGTACATCATAGGCTAAGATGATACTACAGCTGATGCTCTATCTAGCAATGTCTCTGCTGTCAATTCTTCCTTCATCAATTATGCAGCAATTGCCGCAGACCAAGCCAATGGTGCTGAGCTGCAGCAACTGAAAGGTAATCCTGCATTTCATCTGAAAAAAAATGAAGTTCCTGGAACATGTGTAGACTTGTATGCTGATGTTTCTGCAGACACCATTCGTCTATATCTACATCAGCTATGGACTTGCCATCTTCAAACAACTCTATGACATCACCCATCCTGGTGTGTGTGCATCAGAACATCTTCTGACCTCGAGATTCATCTGGACTGGTATCAGCAAAGATGTAAGAAACTGGACACATTCTTACATTAACTGTCAAACTTCCAAGATGACTCGCCATGCAGCTTCTCCTATGCCCTTCAAACCGGTTACATCTAGATTCGGCCATGTCCATGACCGAATCCCCTTTGTTCATTTAGGCATCAGGAGTTCTTTCAAATCAGACCTTGGCTCCACTCCTGCAGAACATGTATATGAAACATCAGTCTGGCTACCTAGTGAATTATTCTGCAATTCCACTAACTCCATTACCACCCTAGTCAGGATTGTGTAGCCAAGCTCAGGGATGTGATGTCCAAGCTTCGACCTGTTCAGCCACATTAGTCGTCTTCATGCAAGTCTTTCGTAAGCAAGGATCTCCTTGACTGTACCAATGTGTTCGTCCAAGTAGATTCCATCCGACGTCCACTACAGCCACCATATGAAGGTCCAGATGAATACTATAAATACTATTGATATGTATACTTTCTAAAATATATTATCTTTATGTTTAAATGACAAATATCTTTATTTGCATAGTTATGTTGTCCTCAGTCTACTGTAACTAATTACTCTTAGCAACTAGAATAAAATGAGACATTAGAAGAGAATTCATATTTAAAACTCAAAATTATACAAATATTCTCTCTAGTCTTGTCTTCCGCTGGCGATAAACTTTAACGGACTAAATACGGCGGTAGAAATACTGTTTGGTTAGAGAGAGAGAGAGGTGTGTGTTTAAGTAAATAATATATATGTGTGCGTGTGTGTGTATACATATATATAGACAGATGTAGATATATGTGTGTGTGCAGACAAAAATACATACATACATACATACATACATATATATATATATATATATATATATATATATATATATATATATATATATGTGTGTGTGTGTGTGTGTGTGTGTGTGTGTGTGTGTGTGTGTGTGTGTGTGTGCGTGTGTGTGTGTGTGTGTGTGTGTGTGTGTATTATAGTATATATATCAAACATAGGCATGTATGTATGTATAAGTATCTGTCTGTCTATTTGTCTATTTCTCCATCCATTTCTGAGACTATCTATCCATCTGTCTATTGTTCTCTCTATCAGTGTTTGGTGTTCCAATATCTATCAGGCAGTCTGTTCGTTTATCTATTTATATATTATGCAAAATATCTAATACAACATTCAGTATAATCTTTACATCAACTGCGTTTGATATTAACTGCGCTCTACGATATCGCACATGCATTTACCCTTGCTTTTATTGTTTGTGAATGTCATGATCAAGAAAGAAACGAAACAGGCTTACACATGGTGCCAGAGCCCGGCCTTAGCCTGGATGCAACTCGGAGCAACAGACAGTCAGAAACGTGTTCTTTGTCAGCGAACCTGAACACATACTGATGAGATTACAAGATGCACTTCAGAACAAACCATCGCTTGCTTTGGCCACAGCTGCGGGCGGAGCCATGAGTCTTATCACTGCTTATGCGACCTTGACGATCCCTGACCGGTAGCTCGGAGTAGATAGTGTGCTCTTAATAGTGTCAGTAACAGTGATTTGGCTAATTTCATGCACACTTGTTGCTAGCCGTGTTTTGTCGGGAATGTTGCCTTTTACTACACTTGCGAATGGACTAAAGATTCTTACCAAACGCAAGAGACAGTTTAATTTCATAGTTACTGGAATGAAAATAAGCTGAAATCTATAGACACAGATATTGATAAACAGGTATAATCCGGTAAACGTAAGGTTACGTTCCTTGCCCACTCTCTCTGTATGTATCTATTTGCCTATCTGCCTATTTCTTTCTCTCTTACGTGTGTGTGTGTGTGTGTGTGTGTGTGTGTGTGTGTGTGTGTGTGTGTGTGTGTGTGTGTGTGTGTGTGTGTGTGTGTGTGTGTGTGTGTGTGTGTGTGTGTGTGTGTGTGTGTGTGTGTTTGGCTGGCTGCCGCAGAGGGGAAAAGAGGAAGACCGCCAAGAGACATTTCGAAAACGATCGACGTCTGAAAGTTCCTAGTCGAATCTCACTCGAGCCAAAGTTGGGGCATTATCACGCCGTTCGCTTCTCCAAGGCTGATTATTTTTGAAAACTTACTTTTAGATATATTACCTCAAGGGTCAGGTTTGTGAGAGATACAAACTGATGTGCATGCATGCATGTAGTAGGCACACACACACACACACTCATACTCACACTCAAACACACACACACACATACACACACACACACACACACACACACACACACACACACACACACACACACACACACACACACACACACACACACACATATACACAGGGACAGAGGAAAGAAGAAAAGCAGATGATATTGCTAATAGTCTGTGTCTGTGTCGACCTGTGTCTGAGTCTGTGTCTGTGTCGACCTGCGCAAGTACTGTATTTAAACCGTAGCCACCGCTATGCTAGATGATTAAGAACTGATTGATTGCTTATGTAAAATAATCTGCCGTGTCAACAGCTAAGGTCATTAGCGGCGAATACCTTACGGAAAAAGATGTTAAAATATCTATAACGTTTAAAAATCTATCAGTAAATAATTTCTCTTATAAGTAAAGATAAATCATTCATAGTATATAAAAAACAAGCATAAATATTATGCTTTAAAAGTAATTAAAATTATTGCCTAAATTCAATTTGCTACTTCTTGACATTTGGTTGTCTTTCAGATTCGTAAGAATCGGTGCCTAGACCGTGAGGTTGACGATAAAGAAGCCTTTTAATTCGCTGTCGGATATTTAGGGTGCGCTAGAAAGCAAATGCCAAATTAGCAGAAATTGAATTTGAGTCTAAACTCTAGACTCTCTTCTCTCATCGCCGAGATGTAATCTATTAAGGACTGTGCCATATGTGCACTAGTGTAGTTTCCTAAATTGGAACTTCATAAATTTGACTGAAATGTGTTGAATTGGGGTGATTTTTAGGACGTGTTTAGTGTTCAAGTTTTCCCATCTACGAAATAGCTTAACTGGACCTACAGCTTGAGGTATTGCTGAAAACTATCAACAGAATGCGAGCTTCTGGTAGGTAGATACGGGAAAAGGTGTCATTATTCAAGCTCATATAACTGCACTTGCTGTTAGAGCCCCCTGTAAGGGACAAAGGATCTCAATAAGTTCAATTTTAAGGGAGATTTAGAAGCAAGTTAACAACTCAAATTGAACCTCATGTTGAACTTCCGTGTTTCCCATCCCCTTTCTGCGGGGCGCTAGAGGGTCTTAACCCAACGCTGACGGGTGAAAAAAAAAATAAAAAGAATCCACAGCTGGTTACATGTTGATTTTGAGTAATGTAGCCTTTACTTCAGTAAGACAGCGTCCAGATTCTCCAAGACATACTTACAAAAGAAGCGCGGTAATATAGCACCCGTACTCATGCAATACCGTCCATGCACGAGTAGCCTCTCTTTTAATGTGCTTACAGGTTATTTCCAAATTATTTTATTTGGTTCTTACATCAGCCAATTAATGCATATAAGTTATTGTAATGATTTTATGAATCAAAGAAATGTATAAACAAATATGATTGCTAGCAATGGCCGAAAAAGCTCATGTTTTTTAACACTTGTTTTTTTTTCCATTTCAAATATATTGAAATTTATTTTGTTAGTAATATAAACCTTATAAACAATAATGGGAGCTCAACCATATGCAAGTTAAGGCCTTACTTAGGGTCGCAACCAAAAAAGGCTGGGAAACACTAAGCTGTAAGTTAAAAGTCGATGATGATGAACATAGTTATGAGAATAATTCAGGATGAGTTAGGGCTTGATCTCATCTCTACAATGATGGCCCTCAACCTCCGAATTTAAGGTTAAACTGTTAAGAAGATGGCCTCTGCTTTAGCACTTCACAAGGTTTCACACAAGTGCAAATGTAGTGTATTTGATAAGAACTGTGAGCAAAGAAATGATAAGATTAAGCATGTTGGTCTCTGTTTCAGGTGTCCGCAAAAAGACCATTTGTATAAAGCTTGCCATGGTAAGTGTTTCAAGCGTAATGGTAAACGCCATGGCGTTCAGGCTCTAAGTAAAACTGCGGAAGTAGTTACCGATAAGGATATTGATGGAGCTTCTAGTTTTACGGACCATGTGTAAAGTTTTCAGCCCTAATGGAACATTAGGGCTGATATCGGTTCTGAGTGCTCCCATGTTTCTTCCATAATTTGTTAAGAAAAATAGCTACCGAGATCCCCAGATTTTCTCTTTCCTTATATAGACTCCATACCTGAAGCTGGTATGACTCATATATGGTGTGACAGTCATGATGTTTTTTTGTGTGTTTTTTTTTTCAGGTAAACTTCATGTTCCTAGTTAGGTAATTGTAATTCAGAGTTCCAAAGTGGTATTTGTTATCAAATGGATTACATCTAGATTTGAAATTGAAGGCCTTTATGTAGATCCCTTTTGCTCAGCTCATGTTTACCAAAAGGATTATACTCAGTTTGATTGCCAAATCTGACCCCTAGGCTTAATTAGCACATCTGTATACCAGATTATTAGGCCTTAACATAGAAGGTCCCTAAAGAATTGTAAAGTAAATAGCAAAAATGGGTTAATACTCTTCCACATAGTAAGGAATGGAACTCTGGTCGACATTGTTTGCTAGACGTACCATGGTACCAGTTAGTCCAACCTTGAACTGCTGTAAATGCCTTCGAAAATGGGTTTGGTGCATGCGTCTACTTGAGAGTACCTTTGTGAGACTGTAACCTTTGTTACAGCCTGATCTAGAGTTGCTCCTCTTAAAAGGGTTGCTTTGCCTCAGATATTTGAGTGCCTTATTGTGTTTGTTCATTGTGAAATCCGTTTTAACATTTCTTTCTTGGACTAAAAAGAATGCCAATATTTGGAAAGTGCTTTGCTTCTAATGGACTTATTGAAATTTAGACTTCACCTAGTTGTTGGTACTATTGTCCAGATAAAGATAATGCTGAAGATTTGATATCAAGAGTGGAATTGGCTGATATTCCTGTAACATCCATTTTATAGATGTTTGGTCCTTCTAGGTTATCCTCTGGTCGTGATGTAAATGAGACTGTTTGAAGGGATATTGTAACATTACCTGCAAAAGAACCTCACAATATTCAGAACTCACTGTGCTTAAATTTGTTTCCTCCGAAGTTTGACAATGAAAGTTGGCAAAGTAATAGGTCCAGTAGCTTGAACTTCCAGATATATTACTAATGCAGAGCGTGGGTCAGTTATACAGTTTGAATCTCTGACTACTATATTTTGCAAAATCAGTGGAAATAAAGCTTATTTAAAGGGTTAGACTTTTTATTAAAGCGTAAGCCTTTCCCCAAAGATTATACCCTTTGTTGATGATTCTGGTGTGCTAAGGATCAAGGGACGTCTTGAGAATGCTGATCATAATTCCTGGTGGAATTATGATGACTAGGTCATTGGAGTTAAATGTACTGCTTAATCTGTTTGGAGAATGTATTTTGTGTAAAAAAAATAAATAAATCTAACCTTGTAATTAATCTGTTGCACCTCTTCCTAGACCCAGCATTACCATCATTGGTATAATTCATGCTGGCTCTTTATTTTGTTTTAATTTAAAACCATGAAGTAATTTATGTCCTTGCAGTTAGGAGATTTGTCACAAATAGAGGAATCCCCGGCCATCTATACAGATAATACCAATTTATGGTAAAAAATGTCAAAGGTGGTCCCATGTCCATGTGAACGTAGTGGACACGTTCGCAAAGAAACATGCTTACTAAGCCGCGGGATGATGCGGTAGGGTGGCCAGTTACTTTCAGCCCCGACCTTGACGTCAGCATATCAGTACTCATTTACAGCTGAGTCGATTGCGAGGGGCGGAGGCCGGGCGCGAACCCAGGACCTTGCGATTGCAAAGCCAGCACTCTACCACTGAGTTATGCCACCCTCCTCAATTTACGGTAGTCACCGGCAAAGCTGTCGTTCGGCCGCTGTTGCAGGATGGCTAGTGCCAAACAATAGACAAGTCACTTGATCTATAGTGATATCTTTTGTCAAAATCTGTAATGTGATTTTTCTTTCGTAACAGAAATTAATTTGAGACAATGGGAGTAACTTAATATATAACAATATAATTCTATAAATCACAACGCCTAGGTAAAACAATAAATTCAATAAGATTGTGCCTATCTCACAATATAGTAAAAATAACTATAAAAGTTTGTAAGTTTAGTGAAAACTTACAAAACTATTATTCTGCCTTAACATGAAAATTTCAATATCAAATTGCTTTGTATACTTGTTAATGTCCGACGTTTGTTCGCGAAAGGTCTATAATGTTGCATCGGCTTGAATAATATGGTATGAATTTAATTGGCTGTTTTCTTAGTTGTCTATGACGGTAAAATGTCA